GCTATGGTCCACAGTGTCAAAGGCAGCTTTCAGGTCTAACAGCACCAGGACAGCTGGGCTACCTGAGTCGGCGGCTAGGAGCAGATCATTCAAAACTCTTAAAAGGGCTGTTTCAGTGCTGTGCATGGGTTTGAAGCCAGACTAAAACTTTTCATGGATGCCATGCATGGTTAAAAAAGACTGCAGCTGGGCGTAGACTACTCGCTCCAGGGCTTTAGATAAAAAAAGGTAGCTGGGAGATGGGCCTAAAATTAGCGAGAATGGAAGGGTCTATATTTTTCTTTTTAAGTATTGGCTTGACCACGGCATGTTTGAAGGCAGCTGGGACACATCCTGAGCTAAGAGAGGTATTTATAAGTAATAAAATACTTGCTCCAACTGATTCAAAAACATCTCTGAGAAGGCGAGAGGGAATGCTGTCTGAGGTGCAGTTTGTCGGCCGCAGGTGCATGACTACATCCGAGAGAGAAGAGAGGGATACAAGCTCAAAGTGGTCGAGGACAGCTTGGCACAGAAAAGGAGCAGGATCTGGGGTAGCACTAGTGTGGGCTACTCTAAGCGCAGATACTTTTTCAATAACAAAATGTAACAAACTTATCACAGAGAGTAGTCGATGGCACAATTGGAGAAACATCACATGGATTAATGATCGAGTTGAGGACATTAAAAAGAACCTGAGGTTTATGGCTATTTTTGGAGATTAACAGAGAAATGTGCTCCGTTTTGGCTGCCGTCTGGGAGTCAGAGAGGCAAGCACGAAGGATTTCAAAGGAGACATGGAGTTTATTCTTTTTTCATTTTCTCTCTGCACGCCTGCAAGCGCATCTGAGAGCACGAGTACAGTCATTGAGCCACGGCTCTGAGAGAACTTTGGTGCGTCTAAGCGTAAAAGGAGCAACAGAATCCAATATTAGTGTACATGTCGAGTCAAACATGGAGATCAGCTCATCCGCACTAAGAGCACAGTTTTCACAAACACGGTACGATGAGACATTCTTACCTCTGTCCGTGCGGATTTGGGGTATTTGCCGGACTTGTATTCTGTGAGTTCCCTGGACTGTTGCCATGACTGCTCCCTGTGAAGGGAAAAAATAAATAAAAGCACTGTTGATTAGTGATGGATAAATTAATGTGCTTTGTTAATTACCAACAGTGACACATATCATTATATGAGAAAATGACTAAATGATAACTATTGAATTTGTTTGTGCCAATTTGTGTTGCTGATCATCATATGACCACACACAGCAAGAATATGAGCAATATTATCTGACTTGAAATAGCCGAGATTACACCTTATTTATTCAACATGTGAGAATGTTATGTTGGTTTTTAGACCTTCTTTTTACATGGCATAAGACATGTTGAATAAAATATAGGCTTGAAAGGATACAGGGAACTCAAAGAGTGTATTTGGCATGGATCCAGCAGATATTCATGCTTTAAATAATGTTTTTAGTTTGTTTATCAATGGGTGCCATTTTCTATACATAAGGAGTTCGGTATAGACACAGGTGCAACAATCAGTGTGATTGAGATGCAGCCATGTTATATTTGAGATTGCATTTTATCAAATGATATCCAACATATTCCTTGAAGTCAGTTTAGCAGTACCACAACCTGACAAACCACAAGCTAAAACGTTTTTTAACCCGTTTCTTTAGCAACATTTGCAACTCAAAAACGCATTTAAATAAAGAGTTAGTAGATTATTAAACCAGTTTGTTCTAAAAAAAATATCCTGAAAGGACCTGTTAGTATTTTTAAATGACCTCCTGTTTTTTTTTAATTAAACGTTATAATATATTTAAGATAACCTGGCTAAGCTAAGATGGCACGAATGTACTTTAATAGACGAGGGGGACAAACTGTGGCTAAGATTACTAAACACGTGTCTAGAAGTGCAGCTCCGTTAAAAGGAATATGTTCTAAGTACTGACTGACAAGTTGTCAAAAGAGATCAAAATAACTCACCTGATCTGAACTGCACGTGAAGGGTTCTCCCGTGCACCGATGTCCCGTCCAGGAGCTGCATGGCATATGGCACAGACACTTCATGTTTGTAGACGGCAAAACCAAATGTTTTCTGTTTCCCATCCGCATCTTTTGGAATCTTAGTTTTGGTCAGAGGTCCTGCCTGCAAAAACAAGCAAATACTGTTAATGACGTACATAAACAACAAGTAGCTAAAGCAAACGCTAGCTGCCGTTAGCAAACAAAGTCAGTCTCTCTTAAAATTGCACGCAGCGTGTGCATAAAAACATTCGGGTAACATCATATAACCGAAAATGAGCGTATTTCTTCATGAATTAACATGGTTGGGACGTTTTATATGTGAAACGCTTTCGGTTTGTTAGCATTATTGACATTTGCTCGTTAGCTATGTCTAGTTTTAGCGACAACGGCACCTGTACAAACATTACAAAATATAGATTGCACGCAGCGTTTGCATACAAAACATTAGCGTAACAATATATAGGCGTATTACTTCATAACGTCACACTTTTGTATAATTTCATCCCTGAAATGCTTGCATTTGTTAGCATTAGTTAGCATTAGTTAGCTTTGTCTAGTTGTATCCACAACAGTACCTGTATAAACAGCTCGAACAAAAGCTCCTCCGTCACTCTTGAATCTAAATTTCTAATGAAGAGCGTCCGGTCCGCTTCGTCCTCAATCCCCATTGTATATTTGAACAGATACTGGCCTCGCAAGCAACTTAAATGATAACGTGTAGCGTTATTAAAAAAAAAAGCGTTCCGCTAAATACAACCGGAAGGCCTGTGTTGTCGTAAAGTGATATGCTGTCACACCGGAGCTTCTGTCGCAATCAACAGTGGCGTCTTTACGACACAGAAAATACGGTACTTATGTTTGATAATAAATTAGCTTTGAACAAAACCTTTTTTCTTTGAACTCCAAAAGTGTATGCATGACAACATGTTTCTACAATATGTTTACGTTATATTACGTTGGCTATAGGCATTTTTTATTTAACCTGGGAGCTTTATCTGTAGCCTAGCCCAAATAAGCCTAAACAACACATAGCCTAACTGGAGGGTTGCTAAAGTGGAAACATTAGTTTTCACTTCACCTTTACAACTTCATGTTTACTGGCGATATAGGATTTTTATAATTAGGCTTGTAAGGATGCAAATGTTCATTGAATTGTTGATTAATGGTGTAAGTGTTTTGTAGATTAATCAATTGATTGTTAAGTCTACCTAAACTCCCTCCCAGTTTACTTTTTTTTAATTAAACTGCTTGTTAGTCTGGTGGTTTAGAAACTTTGGACTTACAGCCAAAAAACATGCAAATCTATAGCAAATAAAAAAGCAGGAAATCATCTAATTTGACAAACTGGATTCAGATAGAGTCTGTAATAATGTTCTGATAGATAAAAGATTAACGATTATAAATATTATCTTCCTGGTTTAGTAATTGATTAATCAATCGTTTGGGTTCTACGGGCAACATGACTGCTTTCTCATTTCGATTCTGTTTTGTTTTTTCTTTCGACAAAGAGAAGCATTACAATTGGTTGTTGAATAGTGTACAACATCATCTGAGTAAGATGAGAATTAAAAAAAACATCAGAGTTTTTGATAATAGTAACAGGTGATAATAATAACAATAGGGATGTCTTCGCTCTGATTATATCTCTCTGAGTATGCTGGGACATTTTTACTTACTATAATACTAGGGCCCTGAAACTGAAACAGCTAAATGGAATTCATTGTGTTATTTACACCTGCACTCTTCTAAATCATAGACTCACTTATACTCAAATGATTGCTGGCCTACAAAGACAAGTACACAGACTGAGTGAGTGCGTGTATTTCTTTTTTTAAACGTCCCAAAACACAACCTCTAACTTATGATTGAAGTTTCTTAAGACAAAATGTTACTGTCATTAATTAACCTTCTTCTTTTTTTTCTTTTTTTATCCCATTATACAGAAGGACTCAGTCATTGAAACAGTCCGGGGAATATGCTGAATTCAAGTCCTGCAAATACCTCAAATCAGCATGGCAACAGGTAAGAACTTCTCATAGACAGTTTCTCCAGCGATGCCAAAAACAAGATACCATCAGTAGCATTAAAGTAGCTACTGGCTCTTCTCTGCCTCTCTGTCTGAACTTGGCTGGAGCTTTTGTGTCCCTCTATGCTTTGCACTGACATCTAATAATAATAATAATAATAATACATTTAATTTCAAAGCGCTTTTCCAGGTGCTCAAAGACGCTTTACAGTGGTTTGATAAAACACAATAAAATAGAAAAAAAAAAAAAAATTAAAACAGCAACACAACATAATTCACAAATTAAAAGCCAGTCTGAAGATGTGTGTTTTGGTCAGTGTTTTAAAAGTGGGGGGGTCTGTGCAGTCTCTGATGTGTTGTGGAAGGGAGTTCAAGAGGGTGGGGGCAGCGATGGAGAAGGCTCTGTCCCCCCGGGTTCGGAGCTTGGTTCGTGTGACATCTGCCTTTCGATGCAATGTTCCACCTTCTTACTTTGCTAATATAAAGTAATTATGTTCTTCTTATCTCTTCTCTTCTGTGGCTTAATCAGTTTCTCACTGTTGCACAGAGATAAGGTTTTCTTTTTTTCTTACCCTGTGGCCCTCTGATTGGGTCAGCAACTCAAGCGCCTGGAACCAAGTGCCTCTGTGGTTTCAACATCATTGAGTGTGGAGGTCAGGCGAGCGGCGTGAAAGGCTTGACTTCCACACTAATCAGATGGGCCGGGGTGTCTGTCCTCCATATTAATTAGATCCATTTAAACTAATGATTTTCTCCTTCATGCCTGGAAACAGATCCTCACAGAATTGGGCTTGTTACAGCTCTAGGAAGAGAAATAGGCATGGTACATCAGCGACAATCTGAAAACAGCCTTTCTTTCACTTTTCTTGCTGTTTAATTTATGAAAGACCAGAGGGGACTGCATGCTAACCTTGTAATCTGTATGATATATTTATTCCATGCAATGTGCTGTTTCCATCACTTATATTTCTCACGTGGCAATAAACACTGCAATTTAACACCAAAATCTTGGCTGTCAACATGCCATGGGGGACCTTTGCTGCCGTGCATAGTTGTTAACACTTGACGTATTGGGTGTATTGGCACTTTCCCACAAAATGCTTATGATTTAAAATACTGCAATGTTGCAATGGAAGCAGTAAAAGAAGCCTAAACCATAAAACCACACCTGTGCAGTATACTATTTGATGACTAAAGCCCTTGAATCTATTTTAGGTCCCTACATTGCCATTACCCCATACATCTCCCTGATGTATTCCCTCCCTTTTTATAACCATTGGAAGGAATTCAGCAGTGCACTATGAAAGTGTTGTTCCACAGAACAAAGTGTACAGTGTGGAAACAAGAGAGAGGAGTAAGTGAATTGAAAGAGAAACAGGCAGACCTGCTGAATGTGTAAAACCCCTCATTACTGCCCACAGAACCTTACTGGATGTACTTTTGTGTTGCTAATAAATACATTTACTTTTGATTTCTGTACTGAACTAAATAAAAAAAAATCAATTAAATGTCTTCATACGACTCCATTGAGTACTCATTATTCTTCATACTAAGAGTGAAGTGGCTCAAAAGTACCAGTGGATGGCAGCATAGATCCAACTGTTAGGATAGTTTGCTTTCATCTCTTTGGGGATGTCAGAATGGTGCTATGCACTGATGAAGAACAAATACATGCTGAATTTAAAGACTTTTATTTGTTTTTTTCTTTTACAAGTGGGGATAGGAAGTTTTATAAGAATATTCTCTATTTATGTTTCTCTTTTGGCCTGTTGCCCACTTTAAGATGTTTCCTCTCATTAAAGGATAGAGGCTTGTTAGGAATGTGGTATTGTTGTCCATGGAGTATTTTTTAGTGAGCATGGATCCTGAATGAAAGTCAGTTGTCCTCCCGGATTTACCATTTGCATTTTACAGGACATGTATATTGGACATTTTCAAGAATATACACATTTTTGGATACCCTGCAGGATACAGTTTGCCTCCAATGCATCATACGTCACTTACTTACATTATCGTTCGTTGAATACTAGATATTTTACAAAGCACATTGGCATTCAGCTGCTCCAGTTAAATGTACTTGTACAATTTATTACCCGACATTCACTTTATGATCCAAGACATTGACAAGCAGAGCTCTTGTCATGCCTTTTGATCTTTTGTCTGTGAAATAAGTATTGCTCAAGCAGAAAAACCATTGTGCTAATTTATAGCATTACAAAAGCCCTGTCAGAGCTAAAAATAAAACAGCGCTATGCACTTTAGCTCGAGAACACATCTCATCTTACACTCATTAACATGAGTGCATCGGTTTCCCTTATAATGACTGGGTTTTTGGATGCCTGCACACAAGTCTTGGCCGCATTGTTTTAATTAATAGAGGAGGGAAAAAGCATGACAAAATGGGAGCAATGCTCAAGGGCAAGATGGTTCCCAGATAGCAAGCATTCAGGGCTGGACCCCAGAAATAGGCCACCACCAGCCACCCATGCTCTGGTCCCATCAGGGTGAAATATTACGGCCGTTTAGCTTCTGTAATGAGGCTCACACACACACACACACACACACACACACACACACACACACACACACACACACACACACACACA